GGGCATGGGCGTCCCATGTGACTGATGACAGACCGATGCAAAGTACCCATTTAATAGGTTGGCTTTTTCCTGGGTGTCAGTTGTCCCATCTGGTTTAACAGGGGTCCAATGTTGCCCTTGCTTTTCCTCCGGCTCCCCACATATCTGAAAAAGGACTTTTTATTGTCCTTGATGCTCGAGGCTAGTTGAAGTTCAGTTGCACCCTTGGCTTTCCTGGTTTGCTCCCTGCAGGACCGGACCAGTGCAGAATATTCCTCCTTGGAGGTAAATCCCATCCTCCATCCTTTGTAGGCCTTACTTTTTAGCCTCAGGAGGTCTGCTATATCCCTGGAGATCCAGGGGGACTGCTGTGCCCTTTTGCTGCCTTTCCTCCGAGATGGAATAGAATTAGCTTGTGCACTGAGGATCGCTCCCTTGAGTAGCCAGTACCAGGTCGAAGCAGCGCTTTGCCTCTCATTGGCCCCTAGACTTCTTGAGTCAGGTAGAGGTCATCCACACATGATAGTAAGCTTTGCTCGGATTTTGCTGAGTGACCCTCCCTTGAGATGTCTAGGTAATTGAAGTCACCCATGACAACCATGGTCCTGGAGCATGCGGCCTCAGCCAGTTCCCGGGCGAACTCCTGGTCAAGCTCTTGACTTTGGGTGGGAGGTCTGTAGTAGACTCCCACCATTGTGTCCCCTGTGCCGTGTTCCCCACGGATTTTAACCCAGAGGGTCTCAAGTTGTCCACCCTGGTCGCTAACATCAGCTTGCAGGGATGCGTAGCTTTCCTTAACATAGAGCTACACCCCGCCGCTTTTATCTACTTGATCTCTCCTGTACAATGTATAGCCATCTATACCCATGGTCCAGTCATGGGTGGAGTCCCACCAGGTCTCCGTTATCCCTTTGACGTCGTAATTTTGTGTTAAGCAGGAGGACGAGTTCCTTATATTGATGCCGATCCGATATGGGACCGATGTATATGTGCACCTCTAAAAAACTTGAATCCTTTTTTTTTTTGTTGTGTTCTCCTCGTCTCAGTGCTCTCAATGGGCACATCCCCAAGAGTGCACACGTGCAGTTTGTGGTGCCACAGACCCATCTGTGGTGCCACAAACTGCATGCACCACATATGCAAGCATTCACTGCGCTGCTAATTTGCAGCACAGAAGGTTTTTTGACACTGGGAGATTCTGTTGTAAAAAAAACCTGGTCCAGAAAAAAGCCCAGCAGTGCACATGGCAGCAGTGTACACCAAACGACACTGGAGCCTGGCCAGCCAGAGCCACACTCCGGCTGCCAGCCAGGCTCCACATGCACAGTTCACCACCACTGGAGCCCCAGGAGGCCCTCAGGGCCTCAGGTAAGGCTTCTGGGGCCAGCCCAGATGCTGGCCCCAGCCTCCCCTCCTGTACCCAGGACAAATTGCCACATGCCAGAGTACACTTGCAGGGACGTTGCCCAGAGACAACAAGCAGCAGCACAAATATGTGCCGCTGCTAGTTGTGCCTGGGGAATGTAGGCTCCCACTTGTGGGGATGCCCCTCACTAGGCCATTATCAGTGAACCATTGTTTGGCATCATCAAAGGTTGCATCTATTGGAAACCTTCAATATACATATGTAGCAGGGGTGTGCCTGCTCCTTTAAGGGAGATGGTAGCCTGCAAAACTGCTTGCAGGTGCTGCAGGGGGCTAATGAGAAACTCACCTGACCAGAAGAGGGCTTAGGCTGGAGCTATATAAATTTAGAGCTTGAGCTGGTCAGGCAAGTTCTTCCTGGCTGGCACAAGGCAAGGCACTCCTGGCAGCTGGGCTCCTGAGGGGACTGGAGTGGACATAAACAACCCTGTGGGCCTGGGAGCAGAGGTAAGTCCCCGGGGCAGAGGAAGTCGGGGTTTTTACAGGCAGGTGAGCTTTGTTTTATTTTGAACCCACAGAAGGTCCTTGAGCCTGGAGGAGGGACAGTGTGCAAAGACCAGGGGTCCAAGATTTCAGGAAGGGACTGTGTAGGTGACCCAGGGGGTCTGAAGGTTCAAGTGCGGACTGAGTATATAAACAAACAACATTACGGAGAGAGAACACTGGCGAGGCTTGGGGCATGGCGTAGGGGAGGTAAAGAGCCACGCGATGAGCACTTAAGGCAACAAGTACCTGGCAGAGTGCAAACAGGCTGACAGGGGTTACTTAGCCTGAAGGCACAGGACAGTGACTGAGGGGACCTGGGAGGGGCCCAGTGGTGATCAGAGCCCACAGGCAGCCTCTCTTATATAACTTTCAATAAGAGGAAGGCCTGGTGGACAGGCCATCAAAAGGAAAGGCTGCAGCCAAACCAGAGCCAGGCAGGGCCTGCATGGCCACCAGGGGACATCGCAGCTGCCCCGTGGCCACGGCCAGCTACAACATACAGCACCTATTTCCTGTTCGGATCCTTCACTTCAGAGTGGGGTTTATTTGAAAATACCTTAATTTGAATTATGGAAGACTAGAGTACCGCTACAGATTTTCTGAATGCCTCTATAAAATCAGTCTTTGGAAAGACTGAATAATTTATTAAATTTGACCAGTACTTCTAATGACACCCAATCTACATTTAGCCTAATTGGCTCTTTTAGGAATGTGTTCCTCATCAGGTTATCATTACCAAAATGATACCCAATTTAAGGACAGATTTTCTTCAGGAAAGATCAGGAAAGTCACCGTCTTAATTTTTAGCCATCCTTGCTAACTGCAGCGGTATCCCAGCCTTGGCAGTAGTTCCCAGGAAGCAGTCATTGCAATCTCTTTTCCTGGGATCAGAGCTTATACCTTCTTTAAGCCCACACCTCTGAGGGAAGGTTCTGCATACTGTTAGGACTCTGGACAGCAGGCAGGCAAAATTGCCTCCAGCTGGTCCCAGTTGACTGAGTGGACTTGGCTGCCAGCAGTCTAACTAATTCCAGTTGACTCCCAGTTACTCAACAGAACAGATGTCTCTCTCTTTAGGTTAGAAACAAAAACTCAGCAGCTCAAGTTTCCCAGTTCTTGGTTCCTGTCTGCTTGTTCCTAGCTTCCTGGATCCTGTTTGTTGGCTTACCACTTCCTGGCTGCCTGCTCTGGACACCCTGGCTAGTAACTGGTTTGGACACTTGGCTCTTGTTTCTGACCCCTTGCTCTCTGGCTCATGGCTCTACTGAGGATGACTGTGTTTGTCTTCGGAGGTGAGAATTGGAGAGACTTTGATTGTTTGGAAAGGGGCATGAGTTTGTGACACAAACCTTAGGGTCAAAAAAGAGTCAACCAAGATGGAGAACATCTTGTGCATGTCCCTTACAGACCTCAGCCTCCTTTCTTGACTGCTCTTGATCCCCTTACTCATGACTTTAGTTGGGAACCTTGTTTCCTGAACTTGTCTGTTCTTGATATCTTGGCTTGTGACCCTCTGAGTCAAGCCCTGACTGCCCATGTCCCAGTTGTACTGCCCTCCATCCCCCCCCACCCCATGGGTTCTCATCTCTGTCATATCACCCTGTGCAGGTTTTCCATGTGCCTCACTTTTCAGTGCACAAGTTAATGTCTCCATCTCATCTGGCTAATCCTCATTTTGGTCATCCCCCTATAGAGGTGAACATTCTGTGCTCTCTAGGTCTCTCACACACAGACTTTTTTGTGGCTACCCTGCTGCTCCTTAGCCTCTTTGCCTCACCTCTTTGGTTGCTGTACTATGATTCAGTCAAGGCTATCTCAGCCTCTCTATGCTGCTGCATCTCTGCCTGCTTCAGCTAAACCCACACCAATTGCAGAAATATTGCCTGGAATTTCAGTCATTCTTCATGCAAAGTGGCTTGTTGTTTCCTGGTACAACCCTGTGGCCGCACAGGCAAGCACAGGATGTTTTCCATCATGGAGGGCCTCAGGCTTTGTGTCACAAACTTATGGTCCCTTCCAAACAATCAAAGTCTCTCAAACTCCCACCTTCAAATAAATGAACAAAGTAACAGTACTATATTCCATATCTTAAATTCTTGTCACACCCAGGATTCATCATGTCCTAGCTACTCTACTGGGACCCCAGGACTTCCCTGGTCTGCAGGCTGGTCCCATTTTCTTGACAGGAGTATGTGGTGCCCAAGCCCATTCTGTACTTAGGTGGGAGACATGAGCCCGAGTTCCTTCAGGCTAGGGGGGTGGAGGTGAATTAAAGAACCCAATTCCTGGGTTCTTCTCTCATATGGCTAGGGCAAGCAACAGCAGAGAAGGTGCGGGTTAATTAAAGCTGTATGTTAAGGTTAGCTGGCCTGGATGTCATCAACTGGATATCAAAGTGGATTGCTTCAATCCCTCCATGATATGCGGGTTCAGGGCTGGAGTTTGCAAAGTGGCTCATTAACTACACCTTACCACATATGCAGTTCGGCAAGACCTTGATGCCCCATTTGTTCAATAAATAGGCACATGTGTTCCATGTCCTTTACAAATGCAGTTCAGTGTTGTCCAATATTTACATTGCTGGTGGAAACCCAGAAGCTTGATGGTTGGATCTACAGCCAAATTTTTGTTGCACACTGTTGCTGCAGACTGGATTTCAGGGAAGATGACAACCTGCTTGTGGTCTTCCCTGCTAAGTGTGAAAGCACAACGAATATCATCACTCCAGCATCCAAACTTCAATCTTTGAACTTATGACCACAAAACCAGTGGCAGCTTCCCAGGTTGTGGGCTGCAACTAGTTATAGCTAGTAGGTTATTAGGTGCCTGCTGAGTTTTGTTGTTTGTGCTGTCCTGAGGTGAGTGGAGTCTTTTCTCAGGTGGTATCTGGCTGCTGTCACTTCTGATACACAGACTGCTGGAGTCTCTATGTTTTGGAAGGCCAAGGCTAGCAAGTGTCTTCCAGATCCTGAAGACAATGCAGAAAACACAACTTGGATACATGTTTGGTGGCAAAAGCTCAGAAATGCTTATTGTTGTCAGACAGCATACCAGTTGGTCTGATTTAAAGAAAAAGATTCTGGTTGCAGAAACGGACGTAGGAGTTACAAGGGACAATAAGGGGAATATGAGCCACCAGTATGCCCTTTTTGCAAAGAAGGCTAATGGCATACTAGGCTGCATTAAGAGGAGTGTTGCCAGCAGATAGAGGGAAGTGATTATTTCCCTCTATTTGATACTGGTGAGGCCACTTCTGGAATACTGTGTCCAGTTTTGGGCCCTCCACTCATGGGC